GCCACGTAGCTGTCAACAGCGACGGGATAGGGTGATAAATAATGTTTGTTGCGTCGTCATTGGTCCATTAATAGGTCTGTAGTGGACCTGTAAAAATTTTCTGGTATTGAAAGGGTTAATTGAGGGCAACACTGTCACGGTAGGGTGTAGTGCAGATCTACATTACAAACAGTAACAACAAGCCAGCTCCAGCTATTCGCAGTAGCAGCTGAAGGACTGATCAAACATAACGTACAACGCGATTACAATACTGCCTCTCATAACGCGACGCGGGATGACAAGGAATAAATCATCCAGCTAATAACGCGTATGTAGATGCCTAGATAACGACATCACTGATTGCAAGAGCTTCACCTTCTGCAGCCAAAGCGATAGCACATAGGTATAAGCTCACTTCTACTTTTCCTTAAAGAGAATACACTCCGGCCAAACTTCAGGGAGCTCGCCGACTCCCCCATCGTGTCTTCGATTCCCCCGCAGACACTACATGGGGATACATTAGCTTCTAGTGACTGTTTTTCATCTGTACTTTCTAATCAGTTGGAATATTGAGAGACTTCCGAAACACACGCACATACTCTAAGAAACGAATTGTAGAACTTGTAGAAGGAGTAATAAATATCGAAGAAACATGGGCACAATCAGTTTAAAAAAAAAAAAAAAAAACAGATTTGGTCAGCAACCAACAATATGCCCATCATATTCGCCTGCTGTCGTGGAACCATACGACGCCTTGAGCTCACTTGGAGCATCGTAATACGTGGTGACATTCCATGTAAACAGTGATGACTAGCAAAGTTTGCACATCATGAAGGCACTTGCTGCTGCGCCCAACTGGAAATCATCGACTATATTATAGTTTCTCGTCACCCTCTCCAAATCTAAAGAGGACGGATGCCATTTCGATCTTGAGGACTTGCTCCGCGGCGTGTCGCAATTGCAGTGTTCGGCTCGCTGCGGAGCTCGCCACTGGGTCCACCACCGCAAGGCCCTGCTTCGGGTACCCGTGCGGGTTTGCCGCGGCTACGCGCGCTCGCACCCGCTCACCTACGTTGGATTTCCACTTTAATTTGCGCTCCATCCATCTCACTTGGGCGTAGCAGCCATTTCCAATCAAGAAACACTTCTAGTATTAAACTGTAAGTGATTATGCTTTACTTATATGAAACGTAAATGCATTTGGCTGCATTGTTCAGTAAAACACAACTCTAACAAGGCGCATCCGTTACATGTACTTGTGCAGTTGTTTATAATTTCCTGCCCTAAATGCGATTGATACAATGCTAAATCGATAGCTGTATGGAATTTTGCAAATTCCCGACTTGCGTATCCAATCTTTTATATCCACATATAAAAGACTGGAGCTATTGCCGAGGCCGTGGGTTCTTGTCACGGCAGACAACGTCACATCTCAAATCCTATCCTGTTGCTTTCGAGGGTGCAGCACGATACTTCGTGTTACCGATATCAATGAGGTGGTATTTCCCACCATTCATGTAGAAATCAATGCTGTTCGAGCGCCGCAGATGGCAAACTCATTCTGGAACCTACTTCCGTGCGCTCAAGTCAACAACTACGCTCGACTTTCAAGACCAAGTATGCGTGCTTTCTTCACTATACTAGTGGCTGGTGCCGCTCTTCTCGCAAGTAGTGAAGCACTTTTGCTCACGACGGAGTCAGACCAGTCCTAGATCACTCATCTGGATAAGAACACTCAACTCGACAAGCGTTTCCTTCGAGTTGGCACGCCGGTCGACCCCGTCAATAACGAAGAGAGAACGTGGGCTCGCATCAATGGCT